CAGTCAGTCCAAAAAACCATATGCAAGGTTTGTGAAATTAGCTGATAGCTTTGGCCTCCACAGTAAAATGAAATGTGTTTTCCTTTTTTCTTTGATTTAGTGGCTATAATGGTTGAAGTTTTCCACTACCCTGTGTAAGGAGTTGCAAGGAAGGTGCAAGTCAGAAACTCATACTGCTCTGAAAAGTGTTCATGTCTGTCCGGGCTTTCTGAGGAGCATGGCTGTAAGCCCAAGGACTGTCTAGCAGTATGGATAAGATGGGATGGAACACTTGGCTGCATTCCTACCTTGTCCTGTGCCCCCTTGAGGCCACTTTCCCAGCTGATTTTTTCCTCTGAACACCTAAGTAGAAAAGATTTCAAAGCTGAAGGATCTGATGCCTTTCCTAGACATAAGGCAGCAGTTTTTCCCTGTGAGGGTGCTGAGGCCCTGGCACAGGGTGCCCAGAGAAGCTGTGGCTGCCCCATCCCTGGCAGTGTTCAAGGCCAGGTTGGACACAGGGGCTTGGAGCAAGCTGCTCCAGTGGAAGGTGTCCCTGCCCATGGCAGGGGCTGGAGCTGGAGGAGCTTTAAGGTCGCTTCCAACCCAAACCAGCCTGTGATTCTATGTCTCTATGTAGATTTGATTTACCACAGCGAAAGTGGACACTTGAAGAAATACCTTTGTTGAGAGACAAGCTGCTGCAAAGCTTGATGGAAAATGTAAACAGAGCAAGAAAAACCCACTAGGACACCTAGAATATCATCAGAGGGAGAATTAAGGTGGGAAAACATCTTCTACAACAGTGACTTAGTGCAAGGCTGTTAGAGGCGCTGGGGAAACCACTTTGGTTGGTTTTGAAGGCCAGCGGTCTCACAGAGAACTCAATACTTCACTCCCTCTGGAAGATCCACCCATTTGCTTTTACAATTGGCCTCCCTGTCAGAAGTTGCTTCTGTTGGTCTGGAAGCTCAGGTGTGCAGAGCTCAGCAGCGCGGGCTCCTGGTACCCAAGGCTGTGGTGCATGTGCAGGACTGTTTGTCTGTGCAGGCTGGCTATGGCTACCCCGATAAGCTTCAAGGCTTCAGTTGCAGAGAGGCACCGGCGTCTGCTCCCTGGGCTGCAGGAGGAGATGTAGGACCCGTTGTCACTGTGGTGTTTAATACTTCTCTATGTAAAGCATCTGGTGACATGGCTGCAAAGAGCAAATGACCCGTTTGATACAACTGTAGTTAATACAGCTCCTCACATGTGTGGTGATTGATTGTGTGGCACTTGGGACCGGAGAGAGGCAGTTTTCCTTTTCAAGCTTTCACGTAGATCGTCCCATCCTGTGAGTTGTCCCACTTTGAGCTTCTCTATTCATGGAGGATTTTCTTCCTCCAGTTTGTTACTGCTGTGCTCTGTGTTCCCCACTGCCATCTTCCAGACACTAACATCTTCCAGCACCTTTTGACATGCATGTTTCAAAGAGAAGTCAGTCAGGGGAAGTGAGCTGTGGTTTAATCTCGGGGCCCTGTCACAAAGAGTGGAAGAGAAAGCTGCTAGATAAGACTGATTCCTGAATTCTTATCTGAATTGTCATCACAGTGAGCACAGAGGGGGTGTGAACAGCAACATGTGCTTTTCATAAAGCTTCTATTATTATTTTCATAATGCTTCCATGATTCCCCCAGGGTCCTGTACAAAGTGACCAGACACACAGTAACAAAAAAATGCCCTCCCATCCTCCAGTGTAAGAATCTGTGCTTGGTCCCAGCATCAGCACCAGGCAGCATTGTGGTAGGTAACCCCAGTGCTGTGAGTCCTCAGATGTCCCAGTAACTGTGTTTTCGCCTCCAGGTAGGAACAGCTCTCAAGTAACCAAGCAATATTCTTGTGAATCCTCCAACGCCCATTGGTGGCTGTTCTCTCCCTGGATAGGAGCTCCATCTTTATCTGTCAAATAAAGTCTGTCCTGGTCAAATGTACTGTGCACCTAGCATCCTTGGGTGAGTTTGCATTTCCAGATAAGAGCACAGGGAGGTCTTCTAATCCTCTTACCATGACATTTGAAATACCCCTGGAAACTCCTGCAAACTGGAGTTCAGGAAAGTTGAAGCACTTGTTAAAAAGCCACACTTACGCAGGACAAAGTACAGAGCTCTTGAGGATGCAAGTGCAGACTGAAGGCCAGGCCTGACTGATAGCCTTGTAGGCAGAGGAGAGCTTATTGTGTGCTCATCTGTCCCTGTCGACACTTCAGCCCTCTTAATAGCATTTCTCAACCTCCACTTGGGTGGGACTCCACTGACTTCACTGTCCTTCTGACATCCACAGGGCTCAACATAGTGCAGTGAATGGAGGGGGCCTACTGCCACCTCATCCTAGACTTACAGTTCCTGAAACGGGAGGAAAAGGTTGCTTAGCCAGGAGTATAGTTGTTCTCCAGGCACAGTTTTAGCCAGTCTAAGTTTTTGAGTTGCTGGTGGATTGTGGGTAATTGCAAGGATTCACAGTCCAGAGTTTTATAGGAGAGCCAGAATGGGATGAATTCTGCCCAGGTAAGGTATATTTATTGCACCATAACCAGAACACCTAGATTCGAACTGTAATCATAGCAGGGCTAGTTGCAAAGGCTGGGGCTACCCCATGCTAAACTTCATCCCAGTTCTTCTCCCTGTACAAGCTCTTTTGATTTTTGTTTTGCAACTGTTGATACCACCTCAAGAAGAAGCAACTGAGTTCCAACGTACTATTAAAAAATAAGAAATTCGCAGTAGGAAGCACCTCAGAAGATTTTCTTTCAGCAGTGAGATCTGCAGTGTAACCTCATGTAGCTTCTTTTCCCTGACGGCAAGGCACAGGGGTTCTCAGATAGGTGTTCTAGTGTCCAGCACAAAGATACCTGAGGGCTTTGGTGCACCAAGGATAAAAGGCACAGTTAAAACAGTGCGGGTCAGCACAAAGTGTGCCAAGTGATCAGGCTGGGTTGTTTTGAGAAATAGATGAGTTTGTTGTTATCCAAATTACAGGTGGGTAAATTCTGTTCATCTGAGCACCACCTCGATAAGTATATTGAGATGACAGTGCCTTCTTGCATCAAATGCAGAGGTGCTCTAAGATGCCTTTGCACTATCTGACTGTAGCTTATGCCCCAGATAGTTTCATAATACAGCTTCCCAGTGAAGAGCAAGATTCATTCTCCTTTACAGGAGATGTATCTGCACTCAGTACCAGAACAGCAAGAGCTTGGTTATATGGTTTTATCTTCTGTTATTCCCCTGTGGTTTCTATATATGTGCACTTTTTGTGTATGAGAATTTCTGCTGGTTGGCTTTCTGCAGCAGATAACTGCAGAATGTCACTTGTTTCACGACCAGCTTTACACGTACAAAAGGATAAGACCACCCTGTCCTGGCTGTGCAGGGTGTGCAGGCTGCTGTGCTCAGTGGTGTCAGTGTGGGGCAGGCAATCTCAGCATCTGCCCTGCGTGCAGGCAGCTGCTGTGGCGTAAATGGTGTTTTACAAAAGCCCACATGGTCAGACCAGAGTCATCTGGCACAAACCCCAAAGGGCTGTGTTCTTACCTGTTTCTGGTCCACAGAGCCATGTACTTAAAGTCCACTGTATCTAGCATGCCTCCAGCAGCAGCGTGCAAGCACAAGCTGATCCCACATCCCATTTTCCTGTGTGTAGTTTACTGAGCATCTTCAGGAATTCTGCTGTCTCTGGCTGCCACTGCTCTGCCCACACCATCCACCTCTGGGTGGTTTGCTGCTTGGGGCTGCAGCCTGTCTCCCCATTGCTGGCAGACCTCCTTTCCTGGTGTGGGAAGAATTAGTGACCACCAGAGCTGCTGGAAATGCAGAGTCTCTGCCTGCAGTCCCTTCTGGGAGGGCCAGGCAGTAGCCAGAGTGGGCAGTCAAGGGTTAGCACAAAGCACGATGTGACTGCACTGCATCAGCATCACTGGCAGCTCTGCAAATAACACCTCAAATCCTGCTGAGCACAACTGGCTCTTGTGATTCCACCAGTGCTCTGCTAACCAAGCACAGATTTTCCTTCTACACCAGTCCCAGAATTAGTGTTTGTAAAAATCCAAATAGCATAGCATTAAATTGAAGCTGGGGACTCATTTGATGGAAAGCAAACAGCATCTGCCCCAACCCCAAATAACAGCAACATCACAAGTGTTCTCAAGGTCTGCATCAGCTTTTACAGAGACACGGTCATTTGCTCCATTGCTGCCAACTGTTTTTAATGCTAGGAGAAGTGAGTCCTTACATTACAGCACAAGGTCTGCAAAATGCCTGATGTGCAAATGAAGTGGATGAGGAAGTTCTGTATCTTCACCAGAGCAGATGAAACAGAAATAACTTTTCCTTCATGCTTGCAGGTTCCAGGAGGAGTGGACTCGGGACATCATAGCTCCTGGGTGTTGTAAAGACAACAATCACCTGCCTAAGTTGACCAAGAGCGGTAGTACACTGATGAAACAGGCTGTATCGGGACACAACACTGCGGTACAGACAGTGAACTCAATACTTCTCATTGAAGTCCATGGACATAAGGACAGTTTTAACAAACTGAGCTGTCAGATACCTGCTGCTGTCTGATACACAACTGCCCCTTTGCACCCAAATGAAATTTGGATAGAAATATGTGCCTTAAAGACAACATAGAGTGTGAATTATTCATATGAATTTGAAAGTTTTCTATATTCCAAGATGGTAATTTAATAGAAATGCTTCAAGTTATGATACAAATGAAAAAAAAAAAGAATGTTGAGGCTGACAGTCCATTCTCTATGGTGTGCTATGCCTTGTGATCATGGCAAAACCAAATTCTTCTGTACATCCAGAGAGAAATGGTAGCCAGTTTGTATATTTGCTTGATACAAAGTTACTGATAAGAATTACACATCTGTAAGATTGCAACCTTCTTTTAACCAGTGGTTTTTGTAAGCATCTCAGAATGAAAAATCCCTCATATTTTTACACAGTAGTATAATAGAACTACAATAAAACTTTGTTTTTAAGTAAAAGCCCCTGTTGTTTGGTATCAGGAAGGCCTTTTTGTTGGATCCTTGTGCTCTGCATTTCAAGACCACCTGTGACGGCGCGCAGCCAAGGCACAGCTCTGGATCCACCAGCCTGTGGGATGGAGGAGGTGCTGCCATGGGCACTGATGGCCAGTGCATGCCTGCAGGTGGAAAGGTGGTCGAGGGCATCAAAGCAGCACCCCTATGAGAGCACTGAAGGGTCATCCAATTTTTGGAAAACCTGCTTTCTTTTCCAATTATTAATCTGTTTGATGTGTGAGGAAACAAGGTGGGTATTTTTCTTGTTTTGTTCATTTTGAATAGCTAAGTAACTGATACGGCTCCGATTCTGTTGTTTGTATGCACACACATATATCTTATCCATAGTTTACTGTTATTTTTGTTCAAGTTGAAGCCTTATTTATTCTCCTGTCATCATCTGTCTAATGGGTATTGTCACATTCCTGTCATGATGGAAATACGATCTTATAGCAAGCTCCAGTAACTGTTTTATTGTGAATCAGGTATCCTATTAGGACCTTCAGTTCTGAAATGTCAGTTTTGAAATTCAAATTATTGTAATTTGCTGTCAGCCCTAAAAATGCCCTGTTCCATCCCAGCCACGCTTGGCAGAGATCAAAACCACAGGCTTGAAATTCAGCTCTGTGGAAGCTGCAGCAAAGGAAGGGTATAGGCTTTTTCTGTTCCTGTAAGCTCAGTTCTTCTATACAACAGGTTGTACCCCTGCAATGCACTTCTCAATATGTGCTGTGAAAAGGAGCATGGAGATAATTCTCAACACTTGTTCCAGTTAAGTTCTCAATTCATTAAATCAATACTAGCCAATGTTTACCAGGAGATACTTGTTCTGTGAGCCTTTTGCTTGCAGTGTTTCGGAACCCTGCCAGACCCAACAAGCTTCTCTACCCAGATGTGTTCCTGCATCCCATGTTAAACCTTTGCTTCTCCCTACACAGGGCTGGCACCAGCTCCACTGCCTGTACCCAGCTGCCAGCACCCAACACTCAGGGTTGCTGCCAATGCTGGGGAGGATGCAGAGGGATCAGAATGTTTTTGAGATGATTACAGAATCACAGAATCACAGTTTGGTTGGGTTGGAAGGGACCTTCAAAGCTCATCTAGTCCAATCACCCTGCAATGAGCAGGGACATCTTCAACTAGATCAGCTTGTCCAGAACCACATCCAGTCTCCAGGGAAGGGGCATCCACCACCTCTCTGGGCAACCTGTGCCAGGATTCTACCACCCTCACTGTAAACAATTTCTTCCTCGCATCTCCAGGGATATGAAACCTCTGCATAAAGCAATGCACTTCTACTGCACAGTGGCAGCTCTTCCTCACTGCTGGTGTCGGGCTCTCTGGCAGGACAGCTGGGAATGTCGGGGAATGGCTGGGCTCCATAGGAAAGCACTTCTGGGTCATGTTTGAGAGGAGGGCTTGAACAGCAGCAGTAGTGAAACTCTGCAGGTGAGTGAAAATAATAACAAAATGTGTGAAAGGAGCATAGAGATTAACAAAGGCTGAGAAAATCAGCCAAACATCTGAGCTGCTCTTATACAGATGGCTGGGACATCAGAATTAAATGCAAAGGAGTTAAAGACTTACCACATAATGGAAAGTACAACTCAAGAATTACTAAGTGCTTGTGGAGGAAATTATAGGACTAGGATCTTGGCATTGTAAAGGATAACTTGTTCCAGGTAGGACACATGAGAAGAAAGGTCTGTGCACTCTCTGAAGTTCAGCATGAGGGGAAATCCTCATTAATGGATGTATGTGGTTGGAGAACGAAGGGTAAAGGAGCATGGAGCATGGGATGCTGGGGGATCCTGCAGTTAGGAGAAAGAGCTGGAAGAAGTCTACTTGGGGAAATAACAGAGCCGTCTTTAATACTAGGTGATGTTACAGGTCTAATTCTCTGCTGGAAAAGTGTAGTCATCAGAAGTTCAAATACACATCTTGGTGACTGCTTTATGTCTGAATATGGTGGGGAGTGGGGTCACAATTGCTTCTGACTAGAGCAGGGGAAAACTTGTTAAAATCAAAAACAGCATTGGGTGAATGTGAAAATAAGTGACATCACATTTTTAAGAAATGGGGGAAGAGCAGTAGAATAAGGAAAATAGACTTCAAAAAGGCAAAATTTGACATACCAGAATAACAAGGACTTGTGCAGAAACAAGCTGATAGATGGTGTGCAGGAGAGCTGGCTGTCACTAGCAGAGGCTGTTTAAAGGCATGCCAGAGAGACCTAATGCAGAGGACAGCAAAGATCTGATACAGCTGCCTTAAGAATGCTGAGAACATGAAAGAGTGGAAAAACTCAAAAAAATGGAAACATGGCAGAAGGTTGAGGAGCAGCACCAAAGGGGTGAGTAGAGCTGTTCAGAAAGGTCAGAGTGACAGTTACAGCAAACAAGGGAAATGAGAGAAGATAAAAATACAGTGGAATAAAGAGTGAAACTACAGGTAAGGTATTTCTTGGAAAAAGCAAAAATGGACTCAGAGATGACTGCCTATTTTGTATCAGGCATCACTGAGTTCACTGGTTAATGCAATGAATTTTAACTTGGGGCTAGGATTGTAGTCTAGAATAAAACAAGAACACCACAAATATTAAGATAAAGTTGATTCCATGATGAAATTCATCCTAAAGCACTAAAGGAACTGGCTAAGCAATACTTGAACCATCATCTATACAGCTTCAGGAAACTGAGGAGACAAGAGAGGTCTTAGAAGATGGGAAAAGGCAAATCTGACTTTAACAAAGGGAGAGAACCTCAGCTACCAGAATGAAGGTGCTTCTCTGAAACCCAGAAAGAGTGTAGGACAAATGATTAAACAACCAATTTGCAAAGAAAGCACATTTCAACACAGGATGAAACAAGAGTTGTAGGCATGGGAGGGAACTACTCTGTTCTAGTAATATGATGCCTCACTTTTTAAAAGCAGATAAAAGTGTGAAGGGTGGCCCAGTTATGCTTCATCCTGCCTCTCTGAGCTCTTTAGAATTTCCTTCCTCTTCCACATTTCTGCGGTTACATTAATCAGATTTCATGATTTAGCTGCTGGTGTTTTGATTTTAGTATGTGACTTTAAAATAGAATAATATGATTGCAAGTCACTGAGTGAAAGAAATTCACTTGTTGGGATGCCTGGGCCAGCACACTGTGTGAGAAAGGAGACCAGTTATCCTGATGAGGCCAATCTGAGTGATGTTTGATGGGAGAAAGCAAAACCTTGAGGTGAGAAGCACACTGATAGCCATTGAAAGCAACAGAGAAGGCAGGTAAATTTACTGTCTCTGTGCTAGAGCCTCAGATTACTATCATTTATTTAGGCATCTCACACAAGAGGCAGCAAAGTTACAAGTTAAGGAAACAACACCCATACTGTATTTATCAGATTTGTGGCTCATATCCGTCTGGGTCTGTGCTTAGTTTATGACTGCTGCACCCCCTGGAGCTAGCTTTACTGCTCATGTAAACAGTACTTCTTGTCAGAAGGAAAATAAGTGCTGTGCACGAAGGAGATAAAAGCAGCTGAGAATCTAAGAGACATTTTAAACCTTGTATTTATTAAGTTAACCCTTAACTGTTTGCCAGCCAGTAATTTCAAATGGATTCAGGCTCCCATTTCTGCTACAGAGGACTTGCATTTCCTTGTGTATTTTATGGAACTGGTGGGTTGCACTTAAAGAACAAGTTAAAATGCTACAATCTGCACAAAGAAACATATGACAGCCCCCTCCCTGCAAAGATTCTTATAATTAAATTGATTATGTGACAGTGTAACAGGATAATTCTTCACAGGTTTAAAAACTGGCAACGGTGTTTATCAAAGGCATTGCTTATTTTGCATTCCTCTACATGTATCTGTGTGGTATCACAGAGCATAATGTTGCCAGATCCTGGGAGTTTTGTCACAAGTCTCATGACATTTCTTATTTTCTTAAGCCACAAATGGTAGGGTTGGATGAATAGGTGAAAATCACGCCTTCTATTTAAAAGTGTTTAAACCTGGGTTTAAACCACGACAAAGTGTCTCACACTTGTATTTGAAGGGAGAAGTTTCAGTCCTGAAGTGTCAAACAACAGAAGAAACACACAAGTTTCTTAAGTTTCTTTGATGCTAATGACATCAGGGCCAGGTAGGACAGAGCCTTGGGTGACATGGTCTAGTGGAAGGTGTCCCTGCCCACAGTAAGGGTTTGGAACTGGATGATCTTATGGTCCTTTCTAAACCAAACCATTCTGTGCTTCTATGACATGGTTTGGGGGAGGCCTGACTCGTGATTCACCAATACTTGAAGCTGTGAGATGTTTATATGATCTTGACACATCTTCTATGGTTGAAAGAAAGGGAAAGACTACATTTTGATCCGGATAGAACAATAAAGCTTGGGATGGACACCAGAGTATCTGCCGTAGAGTTAACATTGCTTTCATGAAGCCTTACAGATGGATTTTTAGCCATGCAAGCCTTCTCCTGGCCACGTGCCCCTTGGGTATTATCCTGAAAATCTAAAGATGTTTTCCTTAGCATGTCCTGCTGCTGTCAGTCTCAGTTCTGGTTGGACTGCAACTGACGGAACATGATAACCTGCAGGAGATATCCAACACTATCTGAGGTGGTATGGCATGGGAAGGCAGAACCTTCTAATTACTCCAGACATTTGCTATAAGAATGGGATATAAATGACTGATGGTTTGGGATGGAGAAGAGGCAGAGATCTCAACAATTTTTCTTCCAAAACATCTCGGTCATTAGTGACGCCTTGGAAGTGGAGTAACTCACTGAATCTGCTATAGTAAATTACTGTCAGATGTAAATGGCTTTTGCAACTATTCATTTATTTTAAACAATATCATGCAGCAGAACTTTGTAACAACTTTAATTAAATGGCAGATGCAATTATTTTTTCTGCTTGGAAGGACCAAGAAGAAAACTTGGTTGGATGCCAGCTGGTAGCTTTTGGGATGGCTTACAGTTGCATCCATTCATAACATTGATAGCTCAGCAAGAAGCTATTAAACTGTGATACATATTTTGTTTTGTTGAGGGATTTCTTAAGTGTTCTGTTGAAGTTTCAGGAAGAGCTACATAAATGCTAACTGATGGCATCTAATATAGGTTTTGGCTGCAGAATTTACACTTTATTTACCATAGTGCAATAGTTTTTGTGCTCAGAAAAGACACCCGAGGAAAGCGTAGAAACCAACGTCACAATGAGTACCTTGCAGTGGGAGGACCTCCAGACAGACCTGAGACGTGCATGCTCCTCTGGCTTGCTTCAGAAAGGTGGCTAGACTCACTGACTGTGCCTATAGGACTCCAATAGGAGTCAAGCCAGATTCCCCTGTGGCAAGTTAATAAACTCTTGCTGTGGAGTGGAGCAGTACCTTTCAGATTTTTGAAAGTTACACCTCATAATACATGACTGTAAAATCTGGTCAACCCTGTTCTCCTAAAAGCGATCCAAGGAACCTCATTTGTTTCTCCCTTCAGTAACATGAGCAGGGGTTCCTTTCTACTTATTTTTTAACAGCTATTATGAAGAGACGATTGACAGAGCCAGTGTTGAAAGGCTCATGTATAATTAACCTACAACCATAGCCATTTCTATTGTCACTGCACCCAGAACCCATCAGCTGGTGGGAACACTGTACAGTCTCCAGCACCCTGCACATAAAGATGTTTCAGAAGTCACTCTCCATTCCTAGCTAATGCTCATGCAGTGATGGAAATACGAAACTCCTCTGGCACAGCAGTGAGGCAGTGAAAGTTCATCTGGTGTAATGCAGAGCAGAAGCAGCTCGTTCCCAAGATCCCTCATGCTATACTTACGTGTGTGTTCAGGCTGCTCTTGTTTTCAAGGTCAAGGTTAAATGGGAATACTCACAGTAGTGTTTCCCACAGGAGGCATGTTGCATCTATGACCCCAAGTCTGCAGTGGCTTCTTGGATTCA